TCTCCCTGGGCTTGGGGAGCGAGGAGGGAAGAGATGGGGGGTCTCCCTCTCACCGCGTCTCTCCCTGTAGGTGGCGGGTTCCAGTCTGGTGGCACCCGGGGTCGTGGTCGGGGAGGAAAAAGAGGAAACCAGTCAGGGAAGAATGTGATGGTGGAGCCTCACCGGCATGAGGGTGAGTGAGGAAGGCGGGGAGCCCGCGGGGGGCGGGGCGGGGCCCAGCGTCCTCACCCCTTCGCTGATCCCCTCACTCAGGTGTCTTCATCTGTCGAGGAAAGGAAGATGCACTAGTCACCAAGAATCTGGTCCCCGGAGAATCAGTTTATGGAGAGAAGAGAGTCTCGATTTCGGTGAGACGTAGGGTCTCCCTGCCTCCACCACGTGCCCTACATGCGACAGCCACTCCCATCCCCAAATGCCTTCCGTGACTCCCCATTGCCTTCAGGTTTAAGTCCCACATTCTCAGTGTGGCCCCGAAGGCCCTGTACATTCTGGCCTCACTTCCTCCCACTGTCCCTGTGACCAAGTGTCTTCAAGCCACACTGACCTCCTTGCTGTTCTCTCAGCTCTGCGTGGCTGGTTCCCTTTCATCAGCGTCTCTGGTCGGGTGTCAGCTCGTCTTTCTCATAAGGCCTCTTTGCACCACCCCGTCTGTCAAAAGCAGCCCTCACCGCCTATCCCCTGACCTATTATCCCATGTCGTCGTCTTTACGGCCACTCACACTCCTGCCTCCGGGCCATTCTGCCTTTCCTGCTGCCCGGAATGAGCTTCCCTCCAAATAACTCGACCGCCCCTTACGTCCTGCGGGTCTGCTTCACGTGTCTCCTGGCTCTTCTCTGGCCACCCTTCCTCATTTTCACCTGTCCCTCACCCTGCTCGCCATACCTTATATTTTGTTCCCCAGCTTGATCTTTTCTTCTTAGCACTTGTCACTGGCTACTGTGTCGTATATGCGAGTTTGTTCAGAGTATACTTACTCCTTGAGGGGAGGGGTCTCTGTCTCGTTCACCGTGTATCCGCATAGCATCTGCACACGGCATGCGCTGGCACCATCAATGTTTGTCGAATGAATGTGTGATCGTGTTTCTGTTTGTTATCTGTTAATCTGTCGCTGCCCCTTCTCCCTGGTCAGTAACATCCATGAGAGGGCAGGCGCTGCAGTCTGTCATGGTCACTGGGATGTACCCACATGTATTTCTTGTACAATGATCGGGCACCCAGTCCCTTTGAGGACCCTAGGGTTGAGGCCAGTGTGGTCTTACAGAAGAACCTGGCACTGACTTCTGTCCCCATCTCTCCTGGCCCAGGAGGGAGATGACAAAATCGAGTACCGTGCCTGGAACCCCTTTCGCTCCAAGCTGGCAGCGGCAATCCTGGGCGGCGTGGACCAGATCCACATCAAGCCAGGGGCCAAGGTGCTCTACCTCGGGGCTGCCTCGGGCACCACCGTCTCCCACGTGTCTGACATCGTAGGCCCAGTGAGTGGACGGATGGGCAAGGGGTGGGGGATGAGGAAGGGCTGGTGGTGAGGTGGGAAGGAGAAAACGGCTGCCTCCTCTGCCAACCCCGGAGTCAGAAGCCCTGGCTGCTCCCCTGTACTGCATGGCTTGGAGCTAGGCCCTTCCTGTCAGCGCCTGTTGAGTAAAAGTTGCAGCTTGAACCACCTGTTCTCCAAAGCCTCATCCAGCCTCATTCCTGAGTTCCCCCAGAGGGAAGAAGGGAAGGAGCGTGGCCATTGGGGAGACCAGTGTTAGAGGGGCCCAGAGCTGAGCGTATAGATACCAGACAATTGGATTTGGTTGCCCTTTACAAAGAAGTTATGCCCCCGAAGTCTGGTCTTCTGGTTTCTCTTGAAAGAAAGGAGATCTCAGTTTCTGGGCCTGCATTTCTGTGATGCTGTTTAGAGGATACCTGTGCATCCCACTTCATGGCCCCTAGCTCATCTGTGTAACTATGAGCTGTATAAGTGGTTAAAAACCCCAGGCTCTGGTGCAGGCATTAAACAGTGACATGGCTTTCAGCACGTTACTCAACCTCTTTGAGCCTCAATTTACCCCTCTGAAAAATAGAGTTGTTTTGAAGATAAATGAGTTAATTCCTGTAAAGTGCTTAGAGCAATGCCTGGCCCACTGCGGATATTCTCAGCTGTTATGACTTCATTTCTGTGCTCTAGCTTCCTGATTTTAGGACTGTATTGGAGGCCTGGGCTTTCAGATGAGTCAAAGCAGGACTGAATAACCCTGGGCCAGTGCCTGCCCAACTCTGCACCACAGTTTATTCATCTGTAAAATGAATGTGATAATAGTTGTTAAATGGTAGGTTTTTGATTTGGAGGTTTGAAGAGATGCTGCATGCAGTGTGCTCCATAGGAAGTGCTCCTCACACGAGAACTAGGATCATTGTTATTATTTGATTTATTTTAGGATGGTCTAGTCTATGCAGTTGAGTTCTCCCACCGCTCTGGCCGTGACCTCATTAACTTGGCTAAGAAGAGGACCAACATTATTCCTGTCATTGAAGATGCTCGGCACCCGCACAAATACCGCATGCTCATTGGTGAGAGGTCTCGGGGTTGGCCAGGTGGGGTTAGAACAGGCCACTCCAGGTTTCCTGGAAGAGGCTGCCAGAGCCCTGATTCGGATGGAATTGGAGTGGATGAGCAGGCCTCTTGAGTCTGCAGGAATGAAACAGGTTGCGAGGGAGCCAGGTGAGGTTGTGAAAGTGGCGGTCCTGCTTCCGGGTCTCAGATGTCTGGCACCCTCAGAGGGCCAGCCTCCTCCCCTCTGATCTGTTCCCCTCTCCCTAGGCCCCCCATACTTCCTACCTCCCTCTAAAACGTGGTACTTTTACACTGCCCCGGCTTATGTATAAAAGCCTCCTTCAGAGGTCCTTATCATCATCTGGTGAGATCATAACCCAGAAAGCACAAACCATGGGCTGGCCCAGGAGCGGCCCACTGTGAATATTAATGACTTAGTTTTGTTTTGTTTTTTAATTCAGAAGTATAATGTAAAGATAGAATGCTTTATTAATCACCCCTAGAAGTAACTTATATGAACAATTTGATGTCTGTTTTTCTCGATTTTAGTTTCATTACACCATCTTTTCAGTTTTTTTAAAGTCACACTGCCTTAAAAAATATTACTTTGTATTCTGCGTTCTGCTGGTTTTTCTGAGTTTTTTTCCATGCACTCATACCATACCCTTAGTCTTGCAACTTGTTTCATCTGACAATCCTTCAGACGCTCTTGCCTGTAAGTGCTCACCTTTACTTGCCTTTTTGATGACGTATCTGTCTCCCCCCCAGACCCGGGAGCGTCTCGAGGGCAGGGTCCGGGTCTGACTCATCTCTCTGTCCCCGACGCCCGGCCCAGGGCTGGCCACAGAGTAGGTGGCAACCATGGTTTACAAGAGGCATGAATGAATGGTGTGACTGGATTTTGGACCCATCTCGGGGAGCACCATGGAGGGAGGAGGATTAAGGGAGGGGGAAGTGAGACTGGAGGCAGGGAAGACTGCCAGGAACCTGCTGGTGATGGGGCATAGGCCCCTTGGGAAGAGCTGGGAAGATCCAGGGGACCAACTCTTTAACTTCCACATCTTTCTCCCTAGCAATGGTGGATGTGATATTTGCCGATGTGGCCCAGCCAGACCAGACCCGTATCGTAGCCCTGAATGCCCATACCTTCCTACGTAATGGAGGACACTTCATGATTTCCATTAAGGTGCGGGCTTCATATCTTCTGTCAGTAACTGCTGAGCAGCCAGTCGAAACAAGGGAGGCTCCATCCCTCCTAATGCAGTCTAATTCCAGCTCTGTCTCTACTCAACTCCCCTGCCCCTAGTCAAACATAACGGAAAATGTCTGCAAAACTAGCAGCTTTGGATTTAAAGAGGCAATAGAATGTTGTGGTCAAATGCATGATTACAAGTCTCACCATCTGAATCTGAATTCCAGCTTGCTATGTGACTTTGAGCAAGTTACTTAACCTGTGTGCCTGTTTCTTTACTTGTAAAATAGAAATATTAGTACTGTTTTTTAGTGTTGATGCAAGGAGTAAATTTATCAATCCATGTGAAGCGTCTAGAACAGAGCCAGGGGTAGAATAAACACTAGATAAACGCTAGGTGCATTTTAAAAAACGTTTTATTTTGAAATACAAATCCTGTGTGCCCTTCAATTAGATTCACCATTTTGTCAGCCTTTTACTACATTTGTTTTCTTATTCTCAGCTGCATTATTACTGTTAAGGAAGAGGAAGTAGGAGGAAAAAAAATCTAGACGGTAAAATTGAAACAGTGGCTTTTAGATAAATAGTACTCCGTCGAAAGCTTCCTGTTCCAAATCCAGAGCAAACTGAAAATTTCCAAAACCTGAGTCTCGCTGTTTCCAATAAAAAACAAATACTTCTGGTTTAAAGAGCACAAAATGAAGGGAAAGTAGTCGAAAGCCTTGCTGCAGACTTTAAATCCTCTCTCCTCTGCAGGCTAACTGCATTGACTCCACAGCCTCTGCAGAGGCGGTGTTTGCTTCTGAAGTGAAAAAGATGCAACAAGAGAACATGAAGCCCCAGGAGCAGCTGACCCTAGAGCCATACGAAAGAGACCACGCTGTGGTCGTGGGTGTGTACAGGTGAGTGTGGTGCCTAGTACTCCACCAGGGCAGGTATCTCTCCTCCCCTGCACCCAGAGGCATGCCGGACAGTACTTAGGAGTGCCCCCAAAGTGGTGACAAGCTCTGACGCCCCTCATCTTCTCACAGGCCGCCCCCCAAGGTGAAGAACTGAAGCCCAGTACCATCTGGATTGCGAGAGATTATGTTGCTACTGTTACACATGTGTTTTTCTATTAAAAGACTCATCAGTCGCTCCTGTCTGCTCAGCTGATTGCTTGGCGACCTCCATCGACAACAGGGCGCATGCTCGCTTGCTTGGACTTGGATCGTGGTGGGGGTGGGCATTCTCATCCGGTCACACAGCGCATGCTCTTTTCTTAGGTACCGCTTGCGCCGCCCTAACCCGGTTTCGGCGCTTGGGCGGGGTTGGTAGCCCACTGCGCATGTGTGCCGGTAAGCTCCGCTGAGAGCAGGCGCGGAGTGTTTTCTTGGGTCACGTGACGGGGAGCAGATGGGGCTGTGGGGCGGAGCCCGGGACGGGGGGGCCGGTTTGTTGTGGTCGCCATTTTGCTGGTTGCATTACTGGGTAATCAGGGCCCTGGCTCGCCGCGTCCGCCGAATACCTTCAGCCGGTGGGCAGGTCTGAGCTCGGGCTTCCCGAGCAGTTCGAGTCCCCTTGCCCGCGCTCTCAGGTAACGATGCGGCTACGGACCGGGAGGGGGGCATTACGGGACCCGCCCTGCCCGCGTCGCAGCGAGACTTAGAACGAGGCCGAGGGAGAAGAGAGGGGCGGCCGGCAGGTGCAGGCCGTGCCTGGCTATTCATAGTCGGATTCCTGGAAGGGGCCGAGCCCGAGGGAGCTGTCCTGGGAGGGGGTAGCAGGGCCCCGCTCCCGCCCTTTGTTTGGGCTCAGCTCTGCCGGCCGCATCGTCGTTGCCTAGCAACAGCTGCCCTGGACTGTGATTGGTTGAGCTCTTGGCAGCAGCGGCCAATGGCACGATTGTTGCCATGGCAGGTGTGGACTGCCAAGTTCAGGCCGACACCGCGGGCCCGGGCGGGCCTCTAGGGAGGGGGCGGGACGCCGGTGTCCCCCGGGGCGGGGGGCTGCGCGGGGCGGGGGAGGCGGGGGGGGGGA